GAATATTTTTAAAATGTACTTAATTTCTTCTTGGTAACCTTTGTCATCAGAGCAGTGTGTATAGCTCGATTTAGGAGGCTGTAGACAGAACTCCTTTTGTGAGAGACTGAGTGGTTGCTCTCAAAATCTGGGATGACCTCCAAATATGGTTCCTTATGGTAAACAGATGTACGGAGTGATCCATCACTATTTCGAGGTATAAGGCCATCTAGGTATGGGAGTTGTCCATCAACCTGAATTTCGAATGTGAACTAAATTCCTGGGAATGTGGAATTGAGGTTCTTGTGGAGGAGGTCTAAATCATTCTTCTTGAGGATGATAAACACATTACCTATGTAGAGCAACCAGAATTTTGGTTTGGTTATAGGGGTAGCTACTGACTGTAACTCAAGGCCAAATTCAACGCGTGCGACCAACTACGACGGAATGACGGAATGTATGTACGCCTACAGTTGTCAATCGGTGCTCACGTAAGATGATTATTGGTTTTTCTGGACGTTTAACATTTTAGTAGTTTTTTGCAAATTTTCTCAGTTCTAAAGACGAATTGGGGAACCATTCTCGAAAATTTAGGCATTTGAGTTTCAACTTTCCCAAAGAAACCCCTCTGCTCTTAATTTATTGTAATATGTGGATGGACTGTGTCGAACAGATTTTCACATTTCATAGGCCCACACCTATATTCCCATAAAATAAACCGAACTACAGTGAAACTGACGATTAACAGCGTCCATCTCATGGGGTTGGGCACAGCACTGGTGACTTTCGCGTGGATTAGATTAAAGCGGACTTGTGAAGCATAAAGCACACTCTCTCTTCGCACACCACCTTGCTGGGATAGCGAGACGTCAGACGTACAACTGCTGCCTACTAAATGAAGCCTGAATATCACTCATTAAATCACTCCAACATACAGTAAACTCCCTATCTCATGGAATGTCAACCGAAATTCTCAAATATATTTTCGATTCGAACAAATTTCTGAATTATGTTTGGAAGATTTATCATCGTACAGCCTGATCTCAAAATATTTCGTTCAAGTCAGGCTGCCGGCTTTTGACTGAGCGTCTCTTTCAATGCCTGCAAAAAGTATACTCTGTAAAAATGCCTTCTTATGTAGAATATATTTTTCACATTAATTTTACCTGCCATTATAAATTCAAATATGAATGAAAACGTTCGCGTTCCGGGTTTTTTTTATGGATGAGGAAGCAGGTTTGTCGAGCACCGGATCAATTTGTTTATTGTCCTGAGCTTTCGAATTGTTACAGGAGTCCATCTTCAGAGATAAGAAACAGCAACAAAAGGGGTTAATTAAAATGAGTGTACCTCAATCAACTGTCGGGGGTCTTCAGGTCGTAAGGGGTTAAAACACGAAGGTGGAAAAAGGGGGTATGGGGGGGGGCAGCCGTAGAGGTATAATTTAATTAGCTGTCAGTGATGTCAACGTTTGTCGGGGCGTCAGCAACGAAAATGGGGCTAATTGTATAGGATGTGGGCCAATTACCTGTGACGGACGTCTGGGTGTGACTGCGAAAGACTCTGTACACCGATGCCAACTCGAAACATCGGTTGAGTAAATTGCCGTCCGTGGACCAGGCTTCGATCAATGCCTGGCTCGTCTTGTTTCCGGTGTGGGTGAGTACCTTGATGGCCACAAAATCTAACTCATGGCCTGTTTCATAGGTATGCGCAGCAAACTTGTGATAATTCGTCGCCTAGTCGTACCGCACGTTCATGTAGAAGTATGCGCGATCCGAGATCGCGTTCCGTTTGCACTGTATAGTTACAAAGACAGCTTAAGCATGTGATACCAATGAACAATGATCCGAATGAACAACCTGAAGCCATG